TATTCTTCATCGCTCGGATTCCATTTAACCACGCCACCGAACACGATAACCGGCGGATCGTAGCAAAACTTTGTCGCATCGAAGCGCGCGCGTTCAACGAAAGCGCGGCTGGAGACGTAACCGGCCCCCGCCGCCGCCGGTGCCAAGCCGTGTGCCGCCGCCACCGTTGCGGTCGTCAGCTGCCGCCGYACAGACTACGCTCTCGTCGGCCGTCGTTCTATTTTTTTTTCGTTTTCGCACGTTCGAGCCTCACAGCCACCGCCGAGACGGTAGTCGTTCCCCGCGCAGGGCGCACCGCGTTCGGCGTTTTCAAAACACCGTAAACATCCCGCGTAATTTCTCGTTACGAAAACAATTTCGTCCTACTCGATCACCGCACTTTGTCTCTGTATAGTCGATCCGTCACAACATACTTGAACGTAATAATATTTATTTTTTTGACAATTATCTCAATTATCTCAGTCCACTACACTCAGACCCTCACACACATTATTTCTAGAAAAAAATCCTCAAAGTCGTAGGTATTAACGTTTTTACGGGCCATGAGACGGTATGTGGCTCAATTGTCGTGCACTGATAGGAGTCAGTGATAGGTAGAATAATAAAATTAAATAAATACGCGCACTGCACAGTTGTACTTATCAGGGACACTCGCGAACGGTGGCACGTTGACCGATTGAAAAGGATTTGCTAACGGCTGCAAAACGGAGCACATAAGAAAAATCATGGGCTGCGTTCAGTCGCTATTCAATCGTACGTATATATTATAATAATATTTTTAACACGATGATATTTAATATTTATATATTTATAATAAAATGTATTTGATATATATACCATATATTGAGCGAGTAGGTACTACAATAGCACAATTATATAATTTGCTAACCAAGGCCTACTCTCCAACAGGCTCTGCTCTTCCCATAAAAACACGATAATAGCACGATTGAATTTTGAAAAATGTCGATGTTTTTTAACAACACCTATAATATATGTAGTAATAAGACGTGTGTTTTTGTTACAATCGTCTTTGTACGTTTTTTAATGTTAGCTTGTTGTAGTAGCTAGAGTGTTTATATTATAGTATTCTGTATTATAACGAATGGTACAATAAGCGAATGAGCCGTTAGGTGATTCTCGATTGTAAAGATAATCAAATTGTACGTGTGTTCTTCGATAGCGTGGAATATACGTAATATATAATTCATATATATATATAAATAGATTTTTTTTTTTTTAATATTAATAATAATTATTGTTTTTATAATTGACTAGTAGCAAATCACGTCATAATAGAATGATGCATGCACGCTGTTTTGTTCTACAGCATTTTCCGTTTTTGATTATTTGTTCTTCTCTTTAAGCTTTTAAAACAAACTATCAACTTCAAAGTTCCTACAGACCAAACACTTATAACGTTCACTCAGATGATCACGCGTGCTTTTTTTCACAAGTGCAATAAATTTAGAGTACTTTTAATGTCTGCATTATCTCCCACCATCAAGTTTGGTAAATGCAATACCTTTCGTTCGTTAAATTTAAATTTTTTAATTATTAAATATTTGACGATGATTTGATAAAAAAGAGTTGATTGTATATAACATATTATTTACCTTACCATAATAGGAATACTTATTTTGTTTGTTTTTTTTAACACTCATTCAAACAATTTAATAGAGAYCACTAATGGATAATTTGTAATATTAATAGTATAAATAATTTAATTTGAATGAAATCTAGAGTATATTTCATATCTGCACTATCTCCTGCTACTAGTTTTAGTAAATATAATATATTTCGTTCAACTTTAATATATTAATTTCCTGTAAAGTAAATATGACCTGATTATTTGGTCACATTGCGTGAAGTGCATATTACTATAATATATCTACCTACCTCATTACAGTGAGAAGTTATTGATGTTTTTTCTAACTATCCCACAAACAGTTGGAGATCACCAATAGCTAATTATGTAATATAGTTAAACAAATTTGAATTAAATTTAGAGTAAATTTTATATATTCATTATTTTCTGCTACCTAGTTTGAYAAATGCAATATTTTTCATTAAATTTGAATTTGTTAATAATTAAATATTTTCTGATATTTTAATCATATCATATCAATTTTATTGGCTAGGTTAGGTAGTTATCTTTTCATAATAGGAATACCTACACTTGTTTGTTTTWTTTTTTTTTTTAATAWTGACCTGCAATTAGAAAGAAACGACTATCTAATAGTTATTTATATATTATAAATAAAATAAATAATTGAATTTGAATCAAAAAATTTCATTTTTGTTTTATTTTTTTTTGCGTGATTTCATAAAATTGTACAAATAATAATTTTCCATAAAAACAAGCAACTGTTCCCGCAAACTGATTTTTGACAACTTGGCACTACGTATCTTCTTTGACTACGCATGTTGTAGAAAAAAAATCTAATCATTTATCATAAGTGAAGATTTTTTTTATACTAATAGCTTCAGTAGATAGTAGTTTCAAGAAAAAAATAATTTTAATTATATTAAATGTATGAAAGGATTTCTCAGAGACATTTTTTTTTGCTTTGCCTGGGAAATCTGTATCCACGATTTAATACCTCTAGTAAAGTTACACATTTTAAAACCATAATAATAATAATATTTAAAAGTAATATTTTTATGTAAGATACATTTTTAAATAAATTATTATAATATAAAAATTAATGCATTGTACGGTATTAAAATAAAAGCATCCGTTTGAAAGCAGTAAAAATAAATTGAATCAAACAAAAAAAAGCGTAGACTTTTAAAATTTAGTTCTGTAATATGGCTTATTATAGTTATCGCTTTATGTGTAACATACTATATTATAATATAACAATGCACGTTTATTAKAATGTTATGTGTGTGGTACCTACCGATTCATTGCATGCGATGTTTACAAAATTAACGACACAATTATACTCAATTATGTTATGCCCTGTAAATGCTCGCTACTCACTAGTGTATTACATTGTCACGTTTTACTTGCACTAGTATTATTAGAGTACTGTGTTTCTTATTAGTTAATAGATTTTTTTGTAAAAAAAAGTGACAATAAAATATCGGAAAAGCTTAAGAAAATATGTTAAGCCAACTTTATGTTAAACCATGGAAAAAATCGCAAGGAACGATAACAATTGAACTAGGAATCTTTCAATATCGCCTTGAGAGATTGAACATTTTTTCGAAGTATTTTCTTAAGGTTTTCTATGCAATTTCGTAAACAATGAAAAATTGGAATAAATTAGTTCAATTTTAAGCGTATTTTTAAAAATCACTATTACATTTGCAATGTATGGAGTGATGATCATTTTATACTATAAATCAAATATTTATATACAAATTATAATAAAATGTTACCATAAGAAATCGATTACGTATAAGTGATGTTAGAATAATTTATAAATCAGACATAGTAACCATTTTTCTTTTTTTTTTTTATTGATCTGAAATATGCATCGACAACTAGGCCATTAGTACACGAATTTTGATTAAATTTTTAGTATTTTAGTATTTACATGATTACATTAAATTAATTTGTACAATTCTATTTTTTTTAAGAATAAGATTAAGCGTTTAACGTCCTGTGGGTTTGGTCCTAGTGCTTGACAAATTTGTTCTGAGATGTGGTATTGATTTCGATACTGGTTATATTTTTGACATTCTGTAATGATGTGGTTGACCGTTAAAAGTACATYGCACGAGTCGCATAGTGGTAACCATTTATTATRTAGTATTATTCATATAAACAATGAATGATGCACTCAAAATATTTTTAAAAAAAATACTATTTTAATATAATTGAATTACTAATAAAACTAATGCAAGAATCATTTTCAGTTTAAAAGGGATTAGTAATTTAGTTTATATTGTATATCGAGTCATGATACAACTATCATCAAGAAAAAAGATATTTTACATTTTATATTTTTCTAATAAAAATATTGTTCGATCATCTTTTGGAGATTCTTTGACTCACACAAATAACTATTAATTTAGTGATATTCAGTACTAAGTAGTTAAAAGTAGTATAATATATTATTAATATACTTTAATATACTTTAAAATATCCTAAATAATAATAATATATGATTTATAAATTACATATAATTATGTTGTGAAGTATAATTGTTTCTTTAATTTTCATGGTTAAAAATGATGACGAATGATATGTAAATATATAATAAATTTATAAATTCTTGAGGTAGTTGAAACTAATTGTYAACTGAAACATAATGGTGAAGACTTTAGAAGTTCGTATATTTTATTAATGTGAATAAATTAAATTATTTCAGATTTCAGTCAAGTAGATGAAGGAAGTTGCTTTTAAAATATAATAGGATTTTTTGATTTATAAAATATCTTTAATGAAACTATTAATATCGATTTAAAAAAYATAATATTCATTTATTTAACATATAAATAGGAATGTGTATTTATAATATTCATTAAATTTGAATCATAAATACATGCAATAATTTTTAAATGAACAGTATAATAAATTAAGTACTAATGGTATTATAATAACAGAAAAATTATAATGAAATTCATCTTCAATAAACCTACATATACATTTAATATTAATATGAATTATATTATATTATAATTATTTAAATAATAGTAATAAAATATATGTACACTATTATATTACTGTATGATTATTTTTTTTTACTTATTCATTGTATTATTAAATGAAGGGGAAATTACAATGGATAAAAAATATATAGAATGATTTATATTATTGCAATGCATTTTGAAAGCTTGCACCCTCGACCAAAGAAAAAAAATTGCTTTCCTGAAAATTGAACTTTTTAATTGTAATTAATCAATTGGAAAATTTCGATAGAAGTTGGCATATTATATAAAAATCATTTTGYTAGTTAACCRTTTGGATATAATGACTTTAACTGTATAGAATAATTTTAAATCAACATATAATAATCTGAGCAGCAGTGTGACGAATATATTGATTTCACAATGATGTGTGTTTTTTTATATACCAATTTATTATTTTTTTGTGTGTCTGTGTACACGATAAGTTGTCGAAATAATGCATCAATTTTTAACTTCAGTAGCTTTACTGGTTGGAAAGTGAATTTAGTTATGGGGAGCTCAAATTTTGAAATTCCCAGTAGTTTTCAAAAGTACTGAAAAATTAAGGAAAAACGGGGATTTTTATGCAAAATCAATTTTGTGAGAAAATCGATTTTAGATATTGGTGTTACTCTAAAACAAATTACCGTAGATACATACAATTTTCACTGAATATTTATACTGTATTTTTTATGATTGATAAAATTTAACTTATTTATAGACATTTGAAATTTTAMATCTTTTAAATTTTTTTGTTTTATAAATTAAAATAAAATTTTATTCATTGGGTAAAAAAGACACATAGATACAATTTTTTTTAATAAGCATTTAAAGTTCATATTTTGACAAAATACGTAAAAATTTACAATTTATTTTGAGTTCGAAATTCATAAAAATAAATTMTTTAGCTTTTTATAGTTATTTTAAGTTCAAATTTGGTTGAATTACCACTTTTTGTTTTTTGAATAAGAACCCCCCATTTTTACTGTACATTTTTAGCGGATAATTTTTCTTAAAAATCGTTTTAAAATTAATGCGTAAAATATACATACTATTGGAACTAGTATTTATGATACTTTGGTCATTTTTACAAATTGTTTATGTTTATAGATTTATATTAATGACTAATATTTTCG